TGATTTTTTTTGTCAGTGCCCACTTACATTACATAATGTTTACTTGTGTGATGTGGTACCTGTCCGTAAGGCATCTTAATTACTTTTTTCATGCCCTGTTCCTCCTCTTGCTGCATCTCTTAATCACCTCCTCATTTGAGATAGCTCTATCTCCCTATTCCCCTATTACTTTTATTTTACTCTTTATAATTTGGGTTTCTCATGTGATAGTTAAGTTTGTATATCTCACCTTACATTTGGTTTCAAAGTTTATCCATTTTCCTACAAATGACTCAACTTTATCTTTCTTCACAGCATAGTAGTACTCCATTGTGTCTAAATACCACATTTTCTTTATCCATTCATTTGTTACTGCACATGCTTCTAAGATGTAGCTATTATGAACTGTGCTGCTATAAATATGGGTATGCACATATCACTATAATATGATGTTTTTAACTCTTTTGGAAATATATCTAGAAGGGGAATAGCTGAGTCAAAGGAATATCTACTTCAATTTTTTTAGGAATATCCACATTGATTTCTATAGTGGTTATACTAGTTTGCATTCCCACCAACAATGTAGAAGGACTCCTTTTTCTACTGAGGGCTTATCAGCATTTGTTATTATTTGATTTCTTGATGATGGCCATTCTTTCTGGGGTAAGATGGAATCTCACTGTTGTTTTAATTTGCATTTCTCTAATGGCCAGTAATGTTGAGCATTTCTTCATGTATTTATTGGTTAATTGTACTTCTGTGAAGTCTATTCATTTCACTTGCCCATTTTTTGATTGGGTCTTTTATTTTGGGGGTGTCTAATTTTTTTGAGTTTTTAAAAAATATTCTCTGTGTTAGTCTTCTGTCTGAGGAATAACTGGCAAAAAATTTTCCTATTCTGTTGGTTTTCTTTTCCCTATTGGTTGTTCCTTTTGCTATGCAGAGCCTTTTAACTTGATATGATCCCATTTGTCAATTCTCTGGCTTTAGAGATTCTCAGGGTTTAGAGATGAGGTTGAAAGTAAACAATCACATTCAAAACTGTGAAGCTAATTGGTTAATGGCCAGGGCTGCTGTGTGTTTTGGGTGTGTTGTAAATTACAGTTGTAGAAGAGGCTTCTCATGCATGGCTGTTTGGATCTAAGGGGAAATCACTTAGAACTGGAATGAGAGGACTAAGCCTTCACGAATGTGAGCTGTAGACTGATACACTGGCCGCTGACAAGGAGCCGGCTTTTCATCTTGCATCATTTTGGATGTGAATACCCGATAGATTTTGCCTTTATAATTTCAGAAGCAAAAATTAATACCTGTAAATAATTCATAGATTTACAGTCTTGTACACAATTGGCAATTCACAGCCTTTAGCGAACAACAAGAAAAAAAAGATTTAACCACATTTAATCATTTCTTTAAAGAGACTTTGATCATTTCTCTGCATTTTACTGGCCTTTCAGACGTTAATTGCCTGAATACAGTGTGCATCAGGGTCACGTGGAAGGCTTATTAAGACGCAGATTTCTGGGCCTCAGAGTTTCTGAGTCAGTGGGTCTGAGGTGGGCCTGTTCTGAATGTGCTTCTCTAACAAGGTCTCTGGGTAATCGGGATGCTGTTCTTCTGTGGGCCCCACTGTGACAGCCACTGGTCCCACGGGGACTTAAGCTGTTTTACTCTGAATTGACTGGGGGATTATGTGGATGGGGGTGGTGATTCACTTGCTTCTTTCTGACTCAGAGTTCTCCTCCAGGACGTGGGCTGGAGGGAAAGAGGTCTGTGTTCTTCCTGGTGACTGTACTTCTCAGCGTCCTTGTCACCTGCCAGGCCAGCCTGTCCAGGCGAAGGCCATGTGTGCTGAACAAGCACCTCCCCTCTTCTTCCTGCCTCCCAAGCCTGGAGGCAGCTCACATGTACAGATGCAGAAGCAGCCACATCTGCAGTGTTTGCTTCTGACCTAAATCTTTATAGCATCCTGGAGATAGCGGTGGGCCCAGGGTGGTGGAGCTGAGCATGTGACATGGAGCTCAGAGCCTTTTGGTGACTGGTTGGTTGGCTGGGCCTGACTACTGGGTGGGTGTCACTGGAGATGGGTTTCATTTCTGGGTGGACTTTGAACTCCTTCTTGGCTGATGTCAGGTAAACCTCCCAACCCTTGACTCCCTGATTTTGCTCCTTGGGTTTATGAAACATGCCTCTCCCCTCCCTGTCCATAAAATACCAGAAAAAAAAAAAAAATCTAGGTCTGGGGAATGGCCTCCAGGGGACCTAAGAGCTGATGTGGAAACTCTGAGAGCCTGTGGGGAGAGCTGCTGTGTAAACAATATATTATTTATGGAATGCTAAAAAATAGCATCACACCCTCTGCTATTAATAGCTCCTTTAGACTGTGGGAGCAGCTAGGCTGTACCACACTGGCTCCAGCAGTGTTGAGGGAAGGGGGAGTGTGGTTTTCCAGTTTGTAGTACACTGAAAAGAAGAGGAAAGTAGGCTTTTACAAAGATTTTGAACACATATGTAGGCACATTGGTGAAGGAAATATGATTACACTTATGCAAAACTTTTCTGAGCCAGATTACAAATTTCTTTGGATTTTCATTATATTTCAGAATTACTATACAGTATAGCCTATCCCATGGGCATTTGGGTAAAGCATGGTGTCTCTTTCCTCCTCCTCACCCCACTGGAAAGTGACTGATGGTCCTTAGACTTCATGGAGGCCAACTTCCAAATCATCGTATTCTGTCCACTCTTCAGATGGGTATGGAACACCTACTGCATGCTACTGTAGGCCCTGAGACACAGAAGATAGTGTAGTTTTGATTAAAGATATGTATGTAGATATTATGTATCACTTGAACTGTTTATACTTGTTTCCTTAAGTAATGTCACAAAATTGAAGCTCAACTTTTGTGTACGATAGAAGCATCCCTGCAGTGATGAATAAAGATAGATTCTGTAGCATCACTTCCCCATGCAGACATTTGTTCCCTTTTTCCCTCAGCGGAGCCAGGAGATGAAGGTGTCACTATAAGGCACCTGTGGAAGGTCTAGCGTGCAGGTGTTGTTGCTCCACGCATTTCCTGGGGAGAAGCAGCTGAGCCTGAAACACATATACAGGGAGGGGGACCTCTCAGGGACCGTGAGGCCCAACCCTTCCTCACCATCTGGGATGACTGCTGCTTTCCTGCCTGTGTTCTGGAGAGCTCTGTGCTGTACTCCATAGGAACAGGACCTCATTTAGTTCTGGGTCTTGCATTAGCATGAAATTAGAATTAGACCAGACCAGTGCCTGTTAGAATTGTTTGGAAGCCTTTAAACAAATGCAGAGGCTGGGGGGACCCTAGAGATTCTGACAAAATGAGTTAGAGTAGTCCTCGGGTAACATTAAAAAAACAACAAGCAAAACCTCAAACATCCCAGCTTCCCCAGGTGAGTGCAGTGTGCTGTGGGGGCTGGGAAGACGTTGCAAAACTTACCTTGGAGATCTGTTTTAACTTTAGCCTCTCTTCCTGTGCTGGAACTCCTCACAGCCCATTTGCTCATAGGTAGAAATGGTTACTCCAAGCACTAAACACAGCAGGCCTATAGTTATCTTTCGATGGGGAACTTGGTAGTCAAGAGCCAGTTGCTTTGAAAGCATTGATTTGCAAGCTCTTGAGAGTCCTGCCTTTAATCCAGTCCCTAGTTACTCAAGAGCCCTCCAGTAGCAGTACTTGCTCTTCCATGAATCCCCTTTGCCTCTGATTGGTCTTGGCACCAGTCCTAGGTGC